AGGCAGTCTGTGAGAATTCATATCTATACCGAGTTAACGATGCAATTCACAGTACATCCTTTTCATTTGTGAATCACATGCTGTGATCCTTTATATCAAACATACTCCCCAGCCCCTTCCTAAAGATGTGTTTTAGGTAAAGTTTGAAGTGTGAAAAACTTCCTTCCTTCACTTGATTTGGTTTTTCCTCAAAGCCTTCTTGTAGAATAAATTTAAAGTGTAATGCATCAATTTACCATCAGGTGTCACTGTGGTGTAAGGTCACAGACTGGTGGTGCCTAAGGGAATGCACTAGATAGAGTTTAATTGCTTCCAAATAAGTTGAACATCTCCTAAATTTACTTGATGGAAAGCATGTCACACCGATATACTGTAAAAACAGGCAGCAAAGTGACAGAGGCATAATATACTGGTTGACATATACAATTGACACTAGGGATTGAGCCTAGGGTCTTACACATGTTAGGTAAGTACTCTACCACTGAGCTTTATCCCCAGTCCTTTTAGTGCTTTAAGTTTGAGACATGGTCTCACTACAGGCTGGCACTGAACTCACTCTGTTGTCGAGGCAGGTGTTGAACTTGTGATCCTCCTACCTCAAGTACCTCCTATCTTGAGAGGCTAAGGGTACAGTGTACGTATTTTAAACTCCTTTCATTACTTTTAGGAAGCCCGAACTGCTTTCTGCTTAGCTCTGGAACTATGCATGCTTCACTATTTGAAGTGACCAGCATGCTGGGCATCACCAGAGAGTACATTAGGAAAAGAACATCGTAGGCTCTGTCCCAGACCCGGGCAAAGATAAGAACCCACCTTTTAAAAAGTTCTCAGAGGGTTCATATGCACACTCAGGTAAATGTGAGAAGCACTGACACAAACAACCCATGTGCTGACAGTGACTGCAAAGCTCAGAGTAGGACTAAAAGTAACGTTTGGCTTCGTTGGTCAAAGAAAAGGAAGTTAGTGGGAGAGGGGGGACACTTCCAAGAGAGACTTCTGATGTCAGCACGCCTTACTGCATGTTGGAGCGTCTGCCTTCTTTCCCTCCCTCCACTCATCCCTCCCTCTCCCTTTCCCCTTCCTCCCTTCCTTACTCTTTCTGGCTGCTTTCTCATCAGCCTGGCCCCAGGTGAATTCCTCGGTGTGCTGTTACCTATTCCTGCCATAGTCCTAACTGACAGTGTGACCTTTTAAACCTCCTGTCTGACTGAATCATTCCACTGCCCAGCGTGGCTTCTTTTTGCCCTTTGGACTTGGCCCAAGTTATGCTCTGATTCACGAAGGCTCTCCAGCTCCAGTCTGTCTTGCTCTCCAGCCTCACTTCTCAGCACTCCTTTCTCCTTATCCTCAAGGCATAGCTCACAGGACTTTTAATCTCAAATGCCCTCTACTCTCTTGTTATGTGTGTGACCTTTGTCTATTCGGTTTCCTGTCCTGGGGATGCTGTACTCTCAGCTCTTCTGACACACTGATGCTTTCTTTAAAGACCCTGGGAAGCCTTTCCTAAGCCCTTAGATATCCCTCATCACATGGCCCTACTCAATTCTCTGTTTTTCTTTCACAGGGCTTCAGTTGGTGATCACTTATAGTGATCACTTATAAGTCTACCCTGGTAGAGTATTTCTCTACAAAGGAATGGAGTGGGTCTGTCTTGTTCACCTGAAGATTCTGCCATGGCCTTCAATCCCCTGAGTTGTCTGATACCCCTTTCCCAGTGGTCCTGGGTCTCCCTGCTTTTACCTGCTTTGACCACTCCTGACCCACTCCCTCTACTCTGCCCTGTTTGCTTGTTCCTTAACACTTTGTGTAAGAGCCAGGCTGATTCGTCTACTTGGGCCCTTACTCCCTTTCTGGACCAACCCCTAGTCATACATCTAGAGGCAGATCTCATGGCAAGTTCAGCAATTAGCCTCCATATAAACCTATTGTATCTGCCTAGAAGGTGAAGCCAAGATGGTGTGTGTGAATGGTGTGAGTTCCCTGCTAGATGTAAGAAATAATAGTCTGGGTCAAAGGACACCTGAACGAGGGAAGGGGCTATTTAATGACAATCAGAGTTGTTTGTAACTTGTTCACTCATCTGTCAAAGTCTGAGAAACAGCTCAGATTCTTTCCTTCCTCGTTGCTCACGAGTTAATTTTGATGCAGGGAGAAGCTTACGTGAAGCCTAACAAGCCAAATTGTGATTTTTTTCTTCTATGAGAATAACTGTGCAGCTCCCTTCTTCCTTTCCTTTACCTCCGCACTGTCTCAGCACCGTGTGGCACAGAGGGACCTCACTTCCACTGTTCTCATGCTGCTTATAAATCCTGTACATGCTAAACCTTGGTCCTCTAATGAGACATTACTATGATTCTTTTTTTTTTTTTGAGATAGGGTCTTCCAGTAGCCCAAGCTGGCCTAGAACTCACTGTGTAGACCAGGCTGGCCTTGAACTAACAGAGATTTGCCTACTTCTCCCTCTTCCCCCACCGCCTTTTTTGTGAGGCAGGGTCTCTGTAGCCCCAGCTAACCTGGAGTTCTTTATGTAGACCAGGTTGGTCTCAGTCCCACAGAGATCTGCCTCTCTTTGCCTCTGGAATGCTGGGACTAGGGCATGCGCCACCATGCCTGTCTATCCTCTAAAGAATGTGTCCTTTAAGGTAAGCTGTCTTCTTGGAAACCTTCCATGATGCCTTCCTTATGAAGAATTCCTCACTCTCTGCCCACTTTGATAGTGTGCAGCTTTCTTCACGCTATTCAGTGCCATATATAGTTATTCAAGCATGTAGGCATCTATTACTGTCCTGAGAAATATGTTGGGTGCTGGAATTATAAAGCTGAAAAGCCACAGTGTTTCCACCTAAAGGATTCACAACCAGGTTGGGGGATTACTATAGGTGGACAAGATACATAAAAAGCACAGACTTAGATATGTGAAGTATCACAGTGTGTTTGGAAGTGGCCTTTGGCTCAGTATGAGTGAACCACGGGATTTCAAGAAAACGAGAAAGGCAGCATGCCAGAGAGGAAGGGACAGACAGGCAATAGGAATAGTAATGTTAACTACTGTCACGTACCAGGCACTGTGTCAGATATTTTACAGTAACACGCAGGTGTTCAATAACTTATGCAATATCCCACAGCTCGATAGTGTTAGAGCCAGAATTAGACCTTGGTATGATGCAGTTTGAGGAATTTAGTCTCATTATAAATTATCCGTTGATTTAATTCATTTATCTGTGTGTGTGTGTGTGTGTGTGTGTGTGTGTGTGTACATGAATGTGGAGGTCAGAGGTCAACTTTTGGGGAGTCAGTTTTCTCCTTTCATCATGGGCATCCAACTGTGGCTGTCAGGGTTGTGCAGCAAGTGCTTTTACCTGACGAGTCATCTCATCGGTCCCAGAATTTTAATCTTATTGTAGGTAAGTCATTGGACCAGCAAGTATTTAATGAACATCCTCTATGCGTGAGACACTTGTACTTAATGTGTATGTTTTCTCTCTTGATTTGTAATTTCTAGGGGATGGAAGGTTTCTTTTTAATATTCTCGTTTACTCAGAGAAAGTCTTTGTGCATGCATGTGTGTTTACGTGCGTGTGTGTTTATGATTAATGTATGCGCATTATGTGTGAATGTGGGTGTGTGGAGGCCAGAGGACAATCTTGATGTTGGTGCTCACCTTCTACATTGTTTGAGGTAGGGTCTTTTGTTCACTGTCACATATGCCAGGCTAGCGGGCCCATTAGCTTTTGGGGATTCTTCTGTCTGCCTCCCATTTCCCAGGAGGAAGTGTTCGGATTGGAGACATATGGCACTGTGTCTAGCTGTATGTGGGTTCTGGGGTCTTCACCCAGCAAGCACTTTACTGACTGAATCGTGTCCTCAGCCCCACATTCATCTTTACCATGTTTTTCACAAGAGCATCTGGAATGAGCAATTTCCTGTCTCCCGTTCCGCCTTGCTGTTCCTCTTCTCACCCCAAACACCTACATCTTCTCGTCTCTTTCCTTAGTATAAAGTATTTTCTGACAGAGGTGAACCAGAAGGGAAAAAGAATTATGATTCCTTTGTTCTCCCCTTGGCTATGCATTTGCTTAAGTGGATCCTTGGATGGAAAGTGACTAAAATCATTTAAAGCAGAAAGATCCATTTATAAGACTATCCTGGGCTTCCTGTTGAACTGAGGGCCACCTAGAAGCATATTCAATTTTGTAAGAATGCCTCATTATGAGATCTCATAATTCCTGGCTGTCCATATTTACTTAAGAGTGAAGGAAATTCAGGAGCCATCTCTGCCTTCTTGGTGGCATTGTTTGGAGCTCTGGGGACTCCACGTCATATCACGTAATGAATGGGAGGATCAGTCTAATTTTCCCTTCACAGTGTTGAGTAATTTATCTCAGAAGTGATAGTTGTGAGTTCAGTATTACAAAAAGAACGAAGAGTGAAGTTATTAAGGAAATGGAGATTCTTAGTTTTCCAGCTCCTACATAAAGATGTCATCATTTCCCTCAATAGACCTTGTGAGAATTAGATGTTTTTGCCACAGAAAATTTTACTGCTGTTTTGCTCTCTCAGAATGTGCTTGAAAATTATCAGTTCCCTTTGGGCTCTTTAAAGGTCTTGGAATGTTTCTAATTTTTCATAGAAAACTCTGATCAGTCAAGATGAATAAAGGACTTCTAATATTTTTCCCATGTGACTTTCAATATAGGACATGAAATGAATTGGTTGGGATTAAAATTCTTACATATAGTAAGATCCAAGTTCTTACACTGCACACTGCTTGTGTCAGAGTCTGTCTCTACTGCTGTGTGGGCTGGTATCTTTCTGGGAAAACAGAAGGCAGTCACTGTATGAAATTTCTAGGTATGAAACACACAGCTAGCTTAAGAGTCTATGGAAAATATATTTTGGTATTTGGTCTAAGTGATTCACTAGGTATTCCATAAAATACATAAACATCACATGACATACCAGAATTATCTCAGGTAATGTGTGGATTAGTTAGGTTTTTTCAGGGGAGAGCATAAATGCAGTCCCCCACTACCATAAATTATACAGTTGGGTTTCCTGCATTTGGGGAAATCACCAGGTCAGCACATCCCAAGTGCAGTGGATGAGCCCCGCCCTGGGAAAACCACCTTTCTGATCATGGTGTCTGCCCTGGCAGGTAAGTATGACCTACTTTTCAATATAAGTTAGAAAAGCATACAGAGGTCCTTTCTGATGGACGGATGTCTTCCTAGTAGTCCTTCCTCAGGAGAATGCCTGTTCCCTTGGCCTCATGTCTCTTTGGTGCTGTGCTGTCGTTTGCTGGATGCTCCTTTCTCCTTTACAGACCTGAGCACACTGTACAGACCAGTCAGGCAGGGCTCTCAGCTTCCATGGCCAAGGCGATCCGTGGGGAAAAGAGAATGAAGGCTTGTGGCTTCTTTTTCTCTACCAAGGACAATTTTAGGCCTCACCTAGTGCCTGAAGGTTTGCAATACAAGCAGGAATCCCTGCCAGGAGAGAGAACGCGACTCACCCACTGTTTCCCCCATAGTCCTGTTTCTGGAGGCCACTCCCCATAGCATCTCTCCAGAGTGTCCCCTGGTACCATCCTGTCTTAGTTTGTTCTTCATTGCTGTGACAAAACACTCTGACCAGTACCAACTTGGGGAGGAAAGGGTTTATTTGTCTTACATCTCCCAGGTCGCACGCAGTTCATCAGGGAGCCCAAGGTAGGAACTCAGGGCAGGAACTTGGAGGCAGGAGCACAGGCCATGGAGGAACGCTGCTTAC